GGTTTAGATGTGAAGAGGTTGGATCTGGTTTGATATAGTTAGAATTTGAAGAGGTTTGGTTTGATATAGCTTGTATGTGAAGAGGTTTGGTCTGGTTTGATATAGTTTGGCCGTAAAGAGGCTTGGTCTGGTTTAAATGTGAAGAGGTGTGATCTGGTTTGATCTGGTCTAGATGTGAACCGGTGTGATCTGGTTTGATATAGCTTGTATGTGAAGAGGTTTGGTCTGGTTTGATATAGTTTAGATGTAAAGAGGCTTGGTCTGGTTTAAATGTGAAGAGGTGTGATCTTGTTTGATCTGGTCTGGATGTGAACCTGTGTGATCTGGTTTGAAATAGCTTGTATGTGAAGAAGTTTGGTCTGGTTTGAATGTTAAGACTGTTGGCCTGGTTTGATTTGGTTTGGTTATGAAACACTTTTTCTGTTATGGATGTGAAGAGGTTTGAGTTTGTTTGATTTGATTTGGAAGCCAAGGGGTTTTGCCTGGTTTTTCTATGTGAAGATGTTTAATCTGGTTTGAATGTGGATAGGTTCTATCTGGTTTGAATGTGAATATGCTCTATTTGGTTGGGATGTGAGTAGGTTTGATCTGGTTTAGTTTAGTTTGGATGTGAAGGGATTTGCTCTTCTCTATTTCTGTGGTGTGGAGATGGAGGGAGGAAGTGTAATTTATGGGGAACATTACAGAGGCCTTGCAAGAGATGGATTTAAAGCGATTGTTTCTAACTTGTTCTGGAGGCAGTAGATTATAGATGAGCTTCTGCCTGAGAGCAGGACGATCCGTCTGTCACATCCACTCATATCCCAGACTGATGGACTCTACAGTATAGAACTGTACAGGCCTGTTCACTAAGAAACACACGGCTTCATGATTTCAATGAAATTTGGGAAGCTTTTGCAATCAAAACAAAACCTTGATTGAGAAACTATGCAATGTTTGTTCAAATTATTATTATTAATATTATTTGATGTAATAGAAATCATTATGCACATCAGAATCCAATCACACGTTCAGTTTCAAGTAGGGCCATTTTAAAAGCCACATGCATATAGATTTATTTATAGTTCAGCCAACATATTTACCCCTTATTTGTTCAAAATCTGTTTGCGTTTCGTCACTTAAACACAAAAGAAAATATTTTGAAGAAAGCTGGAAACCGGTAACCATTGACTTTCATTGTAGGAAAACAAATACTATGAACGTCAATGGTAACAGGTTTCCAACATTCTTCAAAATATCTTCTTTTGTGTTTTTCTTGATGAGTTTTTTTTTCTTCATTTAAACACAAAAGGAGATATTTCGAAGAAAGCTGGAAACCATTGACTTGCACAGTAAAAAACAAATACTATGAAAGTCAATGGTTACAGGTTTCCAACATTCTTCAAAATATCTTCTTTTGTGTTTTTGTTGATGATATTTTTTCCTTCATTTAAACACAAAAGAAGATATTTTGAAGAAAGCTGGAAACCATTGACTTGCATAGTAAAAAAACAAATACTATGGAAGTCAATGGTTACAGGTTGCCAACAATCTTCAAAATATCTTCTTTTGTGTTTAAGAGAGGAAAGAAACCAATAAAGAAAAAACAAAAAAACAAGATATTTTGAAGAAAGCTGGGAACCTGTAACTATGGACTTCCGTAATAGAAAACACAAATACTATGTAAGTCAATGGTTACAGGTGTCCAGCATTCTTCAAATTATCTTCTTTTGTGTTTAACATAATAAATAAACTCATGAAGGTTTGAAACAAGTAAAAGGTTGAGCAAATTATGACAGACATTTTATTTTTTGGGGATCTATCCCTTTAATAAAAGCCAGCTGAAAAATGTATCTTCACTTCCCTCAAGATCTCCTCTCTTTGCCTTGTATTCTTCAAAACATGACTTGTTTCTTCTTTTCAGGTCAGATCAACACATACTGCCAGACCATCAAGGAGTTCACGTCTCAGAATCTGGGGAAACTCTTCATGGCTGAAGCTCTGCAAGGGCCGAGTAGTTAAAACAAGATTAGTGTCTGGTTAATTTAACACATTCAGCTGCTTTTTAATGCTTTTATTTCACATTTCTAGACCAGACCCAGTAAATATACGCTCAACAGGGGCTTGAATACCCATCAGACGGGTCCGTTTATTTCAGCATGTATAGTATAAAATGTGGACTAAGTTATCATTTCTTTGAAAGGAAATCAGTGTACCTGTCAATAATGTGTAAAAAGAGATGTCGGAGATTGGGTAATAAATGCTTTGGTGTCTACTTGTGTTTTGAAAGTCTCATTGTGGAGTATAAATGAGTTTGACAGCACTGAAGGATGAAGACGACTGTGTTTCTAAAGCCTGGAAGAGATTTTACACCAGTTTTTCAATTCAGTCTTTATTTTGTCTCGTTTATTTTGCTGTACTGTAGTTATATCATTTTATTTCCTGAAGGCATCTATCTATCTATCTATCTATCTATCTATCTATCTATCTATCTATCTATCTATCTATCTATCTATCTATCTATCTATCTATCTATCTATCTATCTATCTATCTATCTATCTATCTATCTATC